CACCACATATACCAAAAGGCAAATACATAAGGTGACAGAAATATTGATTATGGTAATCATTTTCAGACTGTAAAATAATAATAAAACATCATTGCATTCTTCAAATATATATAGTTTTTACCTGTTAATTATATGACAATAGAGTTAAGGAGGAGTTTAAAAACAAAAACATAAAATATTCTTTATGTTGGTATTTATGGCATTAAATGATCTGATCCTAAGATACCTATCCAGGATTATTTCCTATTTCTTTTATATCTTTAATCAAACTGGAATGCTTGTTATTTCCAAACAATTTTTTACCCTCCCCCTTGCTCATGGCTACTTTTCTGCCTACAAGGTTTCTTACTTATGTGCTTTACTTTATCTGCCTTTAAAAGTATCTGGAGATGGGAAAGTAGATAAAGCACAACCCTTGCTTTCAAGGAGTTCTTAGGTCTTGAAGAAATAGTCACATTAACAGCTGGTAAGTTGTAATAAAATTGACATGCACAGGGTATTAAGAGGCAAAGAAGATATTACCATCAGAATACACCCAAAATATTTGCACTAGAAATGGCCAAACATGTAAGTTGGATTACATGTATAAACTAGGTTCTTTAAAAAATGATAGATTTGTAAAAATGTACCCAATTAACAAAAAGTCCATTTCTTTCCATTTCCCCTATTCAGTTTAATCCACTATGGTTGATCTTATCCAAAACATAAGATATTATCTGTATCTATGTGTAAGTAAAGCTGACCAGAGTTCTGACAATAATACAAATCTAATTTCTGTATTTACCTTGTCTTCTACTGGTACATACAATTCAAGCTGGCACCAGCACGCAGATCAATAATACAAATCTGATTTCTGTATTTATCTTGTCTTCTATTGGTACATACAATTCAAGCTGGCACCAGAACACAGACCACACTTGGAATAGCACTATCATACACATGTATCTCTTACATGATTCAAAAGATACACTTTTCATTTTTTCTTTGTAACCAAAACAAATGCACAGGAACACAATGAAACAATATTTTAATAATGTGATTTCACAATATCAAATATGTTGTAAAATAATTTAAAGGATACGAATTTCTGTGACAGCCTTCAAGGAACCTATACCACTTCTGGTTACCCCTAAAAAAATCATAGATGAATATTTTTAAACTTTTTCTACAAAAAAATTGCTTCAATAAAACTTACACAACTTTTTTTTGAGAACATAGGCAAAAATATTAGAACACAGCTAAAAAATAATGCAACATAATAAAGAAAGGCAGAAATTGCACATAGATAACCCACTTAAATATACTATAATTTTGTATTTTCTCTATGCTACAAAATGCAGATTAATTTGTATTTTTATAAAACCAAATGAAAAAGCAAGAAATCACCTTGAATATTATGAGGTTGGGATGCAAGTGAAAATGATGGTACTTTGAGTATGTCATCTCCAGTTTCAGAAGATGAAAAAGCTTCATTTGCTATAAACATGTTTGATTGAGGTTTTTGCTTATTATTGCTACAGTTCCATGATTTCTCCTTGTTCATTTCTGTTTGAATAATTTTCACTGAGTTAACTACGGAGTCCAAGTTTGCACTGTTATTAGAATAAGTACCTCCATGCATATTGTCACATATTTTAAATAATCTGAAAAAGAACCACATGTTTTTTACCTGTAACAGTTGCTTAGAATATTAAAAATAGCATTAAATTGTCTCTTTAAACATGCCCATAAAAATAAAAATTCAATCAATCTCCTAAAATGTGACTTTTTAAATTTACTATGAATATACATCTTTTCATTTTCCTAAAACTCAGATAAATCCATTTGTGGTAGCCAGTGTCTAAGATGGCCTCGATGATCCTTGCCTCCTTTTTTTTCACACTCTTGCAGTCTGCAACAAATTGAATCATTTAATCAGAACTGGCCTTTGTAACTAGTAGAGTACTGCACGTCCAAGTGTGTGATTTCTAAAGCTAGGTCAAAAAGACAAAGACATCAGACACTGTCCCTTTCACATAGTCTCTTAGATGACTCACTTTGTGAAGGAACTCTATCAATAATACCATATCCTAAGAACTCTCAAACAACCTTATGAAGAAGGCCCATGTGGATAGGTACTGAAGCTTCCTGTCAAGAGCCAGCAGCAACGTGTCAGCCAAGGTGAATGATCCACCATGAAAGCAGATCCCCTGTCAAGTGTCAGATGACCACAGACTGTGCCAAAATTTTGATTATAGCCCTGTCAGAAGTTCCCAATCTCTTTTGCATTCTCATGAGAGACCCCAGGCCAAAACATCCAAGTAAATTGTTCCTAAGTTCCTAACTTACAGAAACAATGAGAAAAGCATTTATTGTTGTTTTTAAGCCACTAAGTTTGGGGATGAGCTGTACACAACAAGATAATTAATGACTGCTGAATAAGTCAGAAAAGTGCTAAAGGGAGGGAAAAAGGCCACACAATATAGTCACAAAAAAAGTAATTCATCTAATAGTAGTTATATTTTACTAAAGTGATTCGATATAACAATATATTAACACATGTATTAAATTTATAGGAATAAATCAACATACTTGTCATGAATTAAAAGTTGTTATCAATAACATTTAGCTTCACAGAAAGTATCAGTTCATTCAGTTTTATTTGCCAGTCAATTCAAGGTTGTATACCCTAGCCTACATCATCCCCCCAAATAGGAAAGTGTATCAGCAGATCAAATCATCCCAAACACTATCTAATAATAACCCTAGTGTAAAGAATACTTCTTGGCAAAGTTCTGAAAAACAAGGAGACATCATCTTTATGACTTATGTATTATATTTGATCAAAAGAAAATCTACCACAGTAATTTGTTCAAAATAGCCTCAAGAGATGTAGTAATCATTAAGGTTTCCAATATAACACTTACATCTTATAGAATAAGTAATGGGGATGATATAAGGTATCAGACTTACAGAATTGTATAAGAAATGATACTTAAACACTATGCAAACGTGAAATAATTTGTAAATTACTCTGTCACAATGATATGCTTTTGTATAAGAACAAGTCTCTGAAAAAACTTGAAAAATGTATTTTAGCATCCTCTAATGTTTTATCTTTGAAGATGGAAAATTCAAAAGCAGATAATCTTAGATAATATATATTGTACTGGGAACAAGGATATTCAAGCTATAGTATGATTCCCTGCAATATGCTGTGATATTGGTTAGAATCAGACAGACCTAGGTTTAAGTTTAAAGCTCCTCTGCTTTGTAGCTGTGTGACTTTAAAGTTAGTACGAGTTTGAAATAAGTTTTACAAACTGTAACGACATTATCTACATTCTAGTTATCAAAATTCTCTGGACCTCAGAATCTTCCTAAATCCTCTGGAACTCCCACTTAATAAACTCCCCTAGGTCCTTGACTTCCTCATTGATTATTTATTATCCCTGGCTTTAAAAACAAACAAACAAACAAATAAACAATGTGGCTCTGCCCTAGAAAACTGTTGCTTCTTAAGAAAACCCCTAAGTGGAAACTCCTAATTCTCTCACATTCAATGTACTTGAAGATTGAGAGTGTTTTCCTCTCTATTCCAAATCTAGATAATTTTTCCACTCTCACAATAGTAATCTACGCTATTCATCTATGCCACTTCCTAATAGCATATATCACTTATCAACCTTCTGGTCACTTCAGAATACTTTCCTCTTGCTTTCAGAATTTTGCCAATATTCTGTGCTATTGCAACATTCATGGAGACAACCCATTCAAAATCCTTATCTCTCAATTCCTCAGAAAATTCATTTCCAAAGGAATTCTCCTTCACATGACCTCAGTCATCTACTGTCTCACCAGAGTCTGTCATTATCCCAAACTGCCCTTCCTCTCAATAATCTGATGAATAATGATTCCGATATATTTTTTTCCAACTTCAAACTTTTATTCTGTTAGTTTATTTGCTCAAGGAACCAGTGAGTTCAAAGAACAAGTTAACTGTAATTAACCTATTTTTTCCTAAGCTATCTTCCCTTTTTCTTTTCTTGTCTACCGTTTGTGGACTTAAATTCTATGGCCACTTTCTTACCAATATTCTAAACTCTGCTTATCCTGTTAATATAAAAATAACAACAGAAGCTGGGCACAGTGGAACATGTCTGTAATCCCAGCCACTTGGGAGGTTGAGGAAGGAGGATCACAAGTTCAAAGCCAGCCTTAGCAACTTAGCAAGGCCCTAAGCAACTTAGCAATATTCTGTACCTATATAAAAAAAATAAAAAGGGCTAGGGATGTGGCTCAGTGGTTAAGCACCCCTGGGTTCAATCCCTGATACAAAAACAAACAAACAAAAATAAACCCAAAAATACTAATTAAAAGAAACAGAGCAAGAATCACAGCTTTTGGGACAGGAGTCCCCTGTGTTTCTCCTTTGCTAGCAAAGCAATAAACCTTTTTCCTTTTTCTCAAAACCATGTCCTCATTATTGTACTGGCACCGGGGATAAGGACTGAGCTTTCTGCAACATGGAGCTTAAACACTGGAGAAATACTGAAGAGAAAGGCCCAGGGTGAGATGTCTTTGGAGGTGAAGCAAAGAATACACATTCAAGGGAGAATGCCAGACATCTGCAGAGGGAAAGACTGCAACCCCTTGGTCTGGGATGTTAATATTCGCAGAGGAACATATGCATACTAAAACTGGAATGGTACAGAGAAGAATAGGTGACACACAAATTCATGAAGCATTTCACATTTATTCAATGGACCAATGGATAAAGAAGACAGACTGCATTTCCAGAGGATGAGAAAATGGACTCATTCATCTATAAAAATAATGATATGCTGTCAATTTCAACATGGATGAACCTGGAAGACAATGTGTTAAAAGAAATAAGCCAGGAACAGAAAGACAAATGCAGCATGAGCTCATGTGAAATAAAAACATTCATCTCATAGAAATTGAGAATAGAATATTGGTTATTAAAGGCTGGGGAGGGTATAGGAGTAGGATGGGAAGAGATTGGTCAATGGATACAATGTTACAGACAGGTAGGAGGAACAAGTTCTGATGTGTTATTGCATAATAGGGTGATTATAGTTAATGATAATATATAATCTATTTCAAAATAGCTAGAAGATAGGATTTTAATTTTTAATTTCTCTCATCACAAAGAAATGAATAAAGGTTTAAAGTGATGGATATGCTAATTACCCTAATTTGATCATTACACAGTTGTATATATGTATCAAAATATCACATGGTATCCCATAAATATCTACAACAATTGTGTCAGTCAAAAATAAAATAAAACTTTAAAATAGTAAAAAAAAAAAAAACAGAGCAAGAGGCTCTACAAAGAAATGAATTTACTTGGAGTAATGGCAAACCATATGCATACCAGAGAGGCAAAGAATGGCAAGGCTTCTGAAAGGTAAAATAAGGTTAATAAGTTGCACTGAAAAAACTGTCCTCAGCAAGGATTTTAATAAGAAGAGCAGTGTCAGTTCAAGGCTGACAAATTGTTGGGCAAATGTCATTGCAAAAGTATTCTTTGTGTAAGGATGTGGTACCTTAATGCCTTTATGCAAGGTTGTGGTTTTCAGAGTACTCATAACAGTTTTTATCATAGGCCATTGTGTGAGAGATCCCCTTCTTTATGACCTCTCTATTCCCTTTTTGTTAGGGTTTGACAAAAGTGACTCCATTTTGATTCTGACAACTTTTATTCACTTTATTATTTTTATCATACTTACATCACAAAACCTCACTCCTGAATGATTTTTTAAAATAATTACAGCAAGGCAGTGGAATATGAATGGGTAAAAAGTACAACTTTGGAGCAGGTGATTAGTATTAAAATTCAGAGTCATCATCAACAAGCTTGCAGGATATAATGTTAATATACAAAAAACAATTATATTTTCATAAACTAGCAATGGAAAATCTGAAGAAAAAAATTAAGGGAAAAAAAGAGTCCATGTAAAATAACAGCCAAAAAATAAAATACTTAAGAATAAATTTAACAACATAAGTATAAAACTATCCACTGAAAAACTAAAACATAATTGAGAGAATTAAAGAAAACTTTTAAAAATGGAAGGACAACTCATGTTCCTAGATTGGAAGATTTTAAATTGTTAGATGGTAAGATTCTTCAAGTTGATCTACAGATTCAACACAATCTCTATCAAAATAACAGCTGGCTTCTTATACTAAAATTCATATGAAAATGCAAAGAACACAAAATAGCCAAAACAATCTTGAAAAAAAAGATCAAAATTGTAAGACTCACACTTCTTAATTTAAACTACAAAGCTCCATTGTAGGAGTAGCATAAAAATAGCATATATTAGTCCATGGAATAAAATAAAGAGTTCAGAAATGCTATAGTTTGGGTCAGAAATGCTATAGTTTGGGTCAGAAATGCTATAGTTTGGGTCAAAAGCCCAAGTGTTAAAGGTCAAATCCCCAGCTACTGGGACATAATGGAGACTTTTAGCTCAGTGGGAGGTGTTCTAGTCATTGGAGGTGTGCCCCAGAAGGACTCTGATCTCCTTTCTCTCTCTCCCTTTTTTCTCTTTTCTCTCTCCCATCCAACCATGTGCTTAACTGGTTGAAACTTTTGGTCTCCCTACTCTTTCCCCTTTGACCTTCAGGATGGGCTGGAGATTAAGCTCATTGCCACTGACAAATCATTTCATCAATCATGCTCATATAATGGGACCTTTGTTAAAACAAACAATGGTGCTCAGAGAGCTTTTGAGTTGGTGAACACATCAAGGTGCTGACAGGGTGGCACACTCATAGAGGCTTACTCCACCTCATCCCCAATAGTCAGCCCTATGAATTTCTTTATTTGGAGTTGTATTCTTTATAATAAACCAGTAAATGCAAGAAATGTGTTTTCCTGAGATTTAAGTCATTCTGGCAAATGAACCTATACAGACTGGGTTGTAGAAAACCTGAGTTTATCAGGCACACAGAGAGGTAAGGAGTCTGGGCACCCTGCTTTCCTGGTTGGCATTCTTTAACAGAAATAATTTTGTAGGACTTTATTATTAAGTTTCTTTGGGTGGGGGGTAATGAATATGTCTTAAAATTAAATAATAGTGATGGCTGTACAACTATATAAGTATTCTAAACACCAATGAGTTTGTGCATTCAAAAGGGTGAATTTCATGTTATCTGAATTATAACTTATTAAATCTGATATAAGAAATCATACTTACCTCAACTGTTCTTTTTATAATATCCAGCATCATTTATAGTGCCCAGCATTAGTCTAATTAGATTGCTTTCCTAATCTCCATAATTTTTCCTATTCTTCCCAATCTTTCATAATGCCCTACTTATTCTCTCAAAATGACAGATAACCTCATCTATGTCATAGAGAGAACAAAAACTATAAACTAGATCTCTTCTGAATCTTGAACCTATATATTCAATTGTCTGTCTGCATAATTTATAAGTACCTAAAAATCAATATGTCCAAATCTATTCATCACATTCCCCTAAATCTAATCTTTCTTTAAGGTTTTTTTTTTATTATTATTACTTAAGGGCCCACCATTCTTCATTATTATGGTTCAAACTAGAAATGTAGGTTTAAGATCTCACATATAGTAATCATTTAAGTACAATGGGATTCTACCTCCTAAATAACTTTGGACTCTCTTCATTTCTGCTATCAAAGTCCTAGGTCAAGACTTGTCTCCCACCTACACCAATATAATAACCTTTTAATTGACTCTTCACAATATATTCTAACTCCCTTCTTGTTTGTCCACCATACTGGGGCCAAAATCAATTTTAAAGGAAAAGAAAATCTAATTTCACTCCTTTGCATGGACTTTTAGGAAAATGATTCTCAAACTTTAGTATACAATATGATCATCTGGAAAATTTGTTTAAAATTAGTTTCTAGATCCCATTCTCATCTTTACTAAAACTATGATTTAATAGGTCTAAGGTAGGACCCAGAAATCTAAAATTTTAAAAACCATTTTAGGTGCCTCAATACAGTGTGTCTAGGTACTATAATTTAAGAAACATGGCCTTAAAGTACAAGATGTTGACCATGGTCTATAAAATTCTGAATGGCTTAGTTCCTTCATACCTTACCTCTCAGCATTCTCTTACTTCAAACTAAAGGAACTTTTTTGCAAAGAATTGCTTAACTCTGTGCTACCTCAGGACTTCTGTACATTCTACTCTTTCTACCTATTAACACTCTCCCTCTTTATTTTCACCTACTTTACTTCTATTTTTCTTTAAGGTTAAGTGTAAACACCACTTACTCAAGAAAGTTTTTCCTGATTGGGGTAGATCATGTCCTCATGTTAAATGTTCCAGGACACCTGTTTTCAAAGAACAGTCTGGGAGTCTTTCAGGGAGTCCATTAAATCAAAATTATTTTCACAATATTACTAAGCCAAGTCACAAGACATCACGACAGACTTAAAAGACATAAATGAGAATCCAACTGTATTGCAAAAATATAAAACAATGCCACTTTTCTCACTAAACTATTTTTTGTTTTAGAAAATAGAACTTAATTTTTTAATTTTAATAGATAACTTGTAATTATACATAATTATGGGGTACAAAGTGATATTTTGATACAAATATATAGTTTGTAGTAACCAAATCAAGGTAATTATTAAATCTGTCACCTCAAACATTTATCATTTCTTTGGAATGAGACCATTCTCTTCTAGCTATTTTGGATTATACAATACATTACTATTAACTGCAGCTACTACACAACAGAACACCAGAACTTCTATATAACTGCAACTTTGTTCATCAATACCTCTGCATTCCTCCTTCAACATCTCCCCCAGACTCTGATAACTGCAATTCTACTCTCCATTTCAGAGTTCAACCAACCTCTTTTCTTTTTTGCAGTGCTGGGGATCAAACCCAGAACTTCATATATGCTAGGCAAGTGCTCTCCTCCTGACCTACATACCCAGCCCTATGTTTGACTTCTTTAGATTCCACATACAAGGGAGATGGTGTTATTTGATTCTCTGTGCCTGGCTTAGTTTACTTAACATAATGTCTTCTACATTCATTCGTGTTGCCACAAATGACAAAATTTCCTAGGTTTTTAAAAAATATATATTTATTTTAGTTATAAATGTACCTTTATTTTATTTATATGTGGTGCTGAGAATCGAACTCAGGGCCTCACACATATGAGGCAAACACTCTACCACAAAGCCACAATCCCAGGCTCTCCTAGGTTTTTTTATGGCTCAATAGTATTCTATTATATACATAGATACTCCTGGACTTAAAGTGGGGTTATGTACCAATAAACTTATCGTAAGCTGAAAATCATAAATCAAAAATGCACTTACTATCTCTAACTTATTGAACATTGCAGCTTAGTAACACAGTACACTGTAGATTATCTGTTGTTTACCCTGGTTACTGAGTGGCTGACAGAGAGCTATGGCTCTCTACTGTTGCCCGCATAGTTTCAGTGAGAAAGTATGGTACCATATATTGCTAACATGGAAAAAGATCAGAGTCCAAAATTTGAAGTACAGTTTCAACTGAATGCACATTGCTTTCAAACCACCATAAGGTCAAAAATTCCTATATCAAACCATCACTATGTCAGGGACCATTAGTATACAATACATTATTTTTAATATGTTACTCTAATGTATTTTTAACACATTATTTCCTACACTTCATGCAGGAAAAGTCTTTTTAACTGAAAATTCATTAATTAGATTAATCGGTAGTAGGTTTAGGATGAGTTTAAGATGAATTAGTAAATAAGTACTTTTTAATTTTTTGGTTTTAATTTCTAATATGATTAAATACTGATATATATATATATAACCTACCTTAATAAAAACTTTTTGGGAATCTTCAATACTTTTTAAATGCAATGGGGTACTTATGATAAAAAGTTTAACAATCTCTGCTCTAACAATATACTTACTTCATGAAAATAACTGTTATACCATGAAGTATTTAGTCAATTATTTTTAGTTATGTATCTATGCTTCCCACTAAATTGTAAGGTCCTTAAAGGTAAAAATCTAGAATCCCAAATATAACAGAATGTTTAATGTATAATACTTTGTTATTACTGTTTTTCTCATTCAGAATCTATCATGTTTAATATTTTTGGATGAACACATTAATATTCTACTTTATTCACTGAATGTTATTTATTACATTTAATTAATTACCTTTTTCGAAATGCTGGTGTGCTCTCTCCCTTTTCCTCTATAACGTTACCTAATTTTGCATCATCAGGAACAGTATCCTCAGGTGCTATCTTGGTGCCCATGTGGTTTGTATATTTCTGAGAAGAACCATATGTCAGCTTGCCAGCAACATGTGATGAGTCATTAATACCTGCTACTCCTAAATTTAGATAATCATATTCATATTTATAAGAGGGAAACTGGAATTTTTGTGTTGGTGAAATATAATTTATGTCTTCATTAGTAATCTTTAAATTTGACATTAACATTTTTGAATTATTTTCCTGACCTACAAAAGAGGAATATATTGGTTATTATATATTATTCATTAAAACACATTTTCAATATTATAATGAAAAATTTAATTAATTTTTAAAAGTTTACTAGTTAAATTTTTTTTTGTTAAATATGAAAGTCAAGAAAAGTATTAGTATAATAACAAGATACTCTATAATACCATATATGGCTTCGAAATACCAGGTTGTTTCTGAAAGCAACTTAGAAATTACTTCAGAATTATTAAGATTAAATTCAAAATTTATACAGCATCTATGTTATAAAATAGGTTTAAATCCTGATGACAAAAGTAGTAATAATTTTAATATTTAACTATTCTGGCTACTACAAATGGCATACTTATACAAGTAATTATGAGGATGTAAAATTATATATAAATAATTTACACACAGAAATACAATGGTCAATCATACAAAATCTTAATGAATATGATCCAGTATTAAAATATAGGACATAGTGCTTTTTTTAACTTTGTAATCCTGCTTCTAAAATCAAGATAAAGAAATATCTTCACCAGAGTGTTAGAATTTTAAACATTTCTTTAGAGTTGTTTTTTTTCCCCAGAATCTATGGGATGTTTAGAGAAGTTCAGAAGAGCTTAAATTTGCTTTACCATCTATTTATAAATATTACACCAGATGTATACCATACATGAAGTATAGTATTTGATACATTCAAGAGTATACATATATCTATTTATATATAAATCATGTAACTTATAAGCTTAATATTAAAATATTTATGCATGAAATTACCAATTTAAGATTAAAATTTTACCAGTAACATCATATTAGATAACATATATTGTTTAAGCATTCCTCAAGATTTAAAAAAATGGTCTCAACATGTATAATCTTCTGTTATCTTGTTCTTTCACATAAAGTTCTGTCTCCCAGAAGATGTTACCAATTAGAAAAGAACAAAATTGAAGAGCAGTGACAAGAGTTTTAATGGTTAAAGAGAAACAAATATTCACTGAACAACAGTCAGAACAAGTATGTGATAGGATATTATGTACTATGCACACATATGTGTATGTATATATGGAGAAGGTAAATGTGTTAGATCATAAGGTTTGGTGAGCATTATTTTGAATAAGAGAAGTCTTTGACTCTCATTTTTTTCCATTAAAATAAAGGAATTAATATTTTCATGTTACTAGGTTTTTTATATTGACATTAACTGCATGCATTTGGTTTCACAACAAATATATGATAACTTACCTTGCAATTTATGACTTTCTATTTCCTCCTCTAATTCCTGAGTATCTGGAATTTCTGAAATCAATGGAGGAGGAGGAAGAAACCAATCCAATGATTTTTCATTGTCTGGATAGCTATATAAAATATAAAAAATGTGAATATATGCTTAAAAAGATCTACAATCAGAAACATATATTTATTAAACTTTACTCAATTTCTGTTACCACTATGATTTATCTCTATACAGCAATGTTCTCAACCTTTTATCCCTTGTGTGTCACAGAATTAATAATACGGGGACTGGAGTTGGGATTGGAACTCAGTTGGTAGAGTACTTGCCTAGCATGTATGAGACACTGGATCCAATCCTCAGCACCATATAAAAATGAAATAAAGGTATTGTGTCCATCCACTATAGAAATATTTTTAAAAATTAATAACATTGCATGTAAGATATGCTACCTAAATAGGAATGGCAATAGTTCCACTTCATTTTCTCTAGTTGAAATGCCAGTGATAGGAATTTTAAATCTATTCCAACTTTTTAAAAAGTACTAAACCATTCTCAAATTCTGCACTTTAACTATTACATGTAACAAATTACTTATGATGTATCTTACCTATAATCATGGGTCTTTACTGGGTAAATCACTCCATTATTAGTATTCTTGAGTATTCCTACAACTTGAGTGAAAATTAATGTCCAAACCCAAATACTTGGTTCAGAACCATATGCAACCACAAAATCTCTAAGAAATTGGTTGAAA